TCTCGCTCCTTGGATGCTCCTCTTTCTTCCGCCTTTTTTTCCTCGTTATTCTCAATGTGATTTTACGCCGAGCTATTTTCAAGTCAGGCCGTCGCAATTTGCGGAAATCCGAATTAGACGTTAATAAAATGTAATAAATGAAATTCTATTGAAATGTTTGTTGACGAAAAATACGTGGCAATTTTAACAAGTGATTTTTACGACAAACGCTCAGGAAATAAGAAACGGAAATTTGCAAAATTCTCTACAATGAGAGGGATATTATTTATTTTAAACATTTCTAACATTTAATTAAATAATTTTTTAGAGCTCATTGGTGAGTTAAATCTACAAGAAAAAAATTAATCAAAGAAATAGATACAGAGAAGAATACAGTACGGGCAGCTTACCCAGCCGTACTATTCTTCGACGTTGTAAAGGTTAACCTTATTTTATGATGACCCGTACAAGCGCAACACATCTTGCTAATATGCGTGTATAGTAACCATTAATTAACAGTCTGACGTCCTTCCTAGTTGTTGATAGAAACTAGGATGATTAAGGAAGCTACATAATTAAAGCGCATTGTGCGAAACAACGGCTTGTCCGTGCACAGGGCGGTATGTTTGCAGATAGCGCTATGCAAACAAGGGAGATTATATTTTTCGATATTCTTTCGTTACATAAATTTGTCGAATAGTAAGCCACTTAAACTTTCTTTCAAATCTCTTAGTAAGCTCCGCGGTAACGAAGTTGTGAAAGAAGAGTGCACCATTTTATGTAAAACTCGACTTTGTACATATAAAACCTACCGTTTTCTTAACACGTTGTAATTAACAAGCGACACTTTTCCTTCAATTTCTCCTGGTAAATGGTGGAATTTGTACTTACAATTAGTTTGACTACCTCGTTATAAGTATTCGTCTAACAACGGCGAAATAATCGGACCATAAATTATAAATAAATTAACGAACAAAAAAAGATTATAATTTCTTTATGGAAGGAAAATGACATAAAAAGAGAGAATGTGTGTGTGTGTATATTTTTTTGTTACGCAGCGAGTTAACTGCAATTGGTCTCCAACATGCAGAGAAAGTAATTGCAATTAACAAATGTGAATGTAAAATTCGCTTTTGAAGGTTTTCTTATACCATTTTTTAAGAGATGCTATAAATGAGTTGAAGAAATTTTTAAATAATTTTATATTTATATATATGATATATTATCAGAGCACTTATTAAGATGAGCGAAAGTGAAATTTTTTTATGCAATTGCGGAGCTTGCTTTTATTCTTATCCTAATCAGCGTGCAAGGCTCAACGACATATAATTTCGAAAGAGTTGCCGGTTTCTTATCACTTATACATCCATGACGGATTATCTCAGAGGTATTCCTCCGTTCCTAATGCGCCTTTATCATTTTCTCATCTTCTCTTAGGACAGCACTTCCAAAATCTTATTATTCTGCAGTATTATTGACTCTTCCACCGGCGACGCCGGTTTCGGTACCTTCTCTCTGGATGCTATCATCCACTTTAAGAAATAATGTGCAAAATTTGTGATTCCCCTAAAGGTTAAACTTTATTACATAAAGTATCCCAAAATAATTCTTAGTAGTTTATTAAAAGTTTTTAGCATTATGTGAATTTTACGAGCACCGTTGGCGAAACGTTTTTGATAGCGCTCGCGATATTCATCTTTACATCTGCTCTCGTAAAAATTTTGTGTTTTTATTCATCTCTTGATATTCTTTTCTTAATAATCTTTCCTTCCTCTTACTCTTATCTGATAAATGTATCTCAGTATCGAAACCAGCGTCTCTACACATTCTTCGAACAGGTACTGCCCCAGTCACCTAATTCTAACACAACACATCGAGAATTACGCAGGATAATATTCTCTAGCTTAAGTACAGTACTATACGGCTGTAAGTCTTTAGATACGGAAGCATATGTATCGGACGTGGGTTTATGTGTGTAATGTGTCTTTCGCACGCGTACCCACGTGGTTCATTCATTCGATCATTACGAATCGTTCTTTATCAAAGTCGAACAGCTGTCGGTGTACGCAATGCGATCGATCGTACGGAATTAGTATGCACGTCTGTTAACAATAACAAGGAAAAATGCTTATTTCTGCAAGCTATCAATCGATTGTAATAATACTCCGTGTCGTTTGTATGCACCTACGATTTAATAATAACATAAAACATAAATTCAAGTATTCCCTTGTTCGAAATTTAATAACTGAATGTAGATTTGATTAAAGTAACAGGCTGTCTTAGTGTTTAAATCGTTCATAACTTATTATTGCGATTTGACGTGCAACAAGATAAGTTTCGAACCTACAAAAGTCAGGTCGTTAAGTTAACACAAGTCGTTCGATGTATACAAACGGCACGTTACCGCCACGATATAGTTCTATTATCCTACCACGGTATAATGTATAATAATTATTACTCTCTACGCGACGTACAACAACGATCATTAGTCTTGTCGTTTTCCACCTTATCGTAGCTGCACCGCGACGTATTGACGACAGTTAGAAAAATTTTGCGCATGCACCGTTATATGTACACGGTAAACTTTCTCCGGTGTGACACGCGCGTTTTCGCGTCACGTTTTTCACGAACGTATATATCTGCTGCAGTCGGCACGAAGATCATCGGAGGGACTCGTCGAATTTATTTATTTTTTTTTTCTTAAGGTGACGCTCCTGTTTCTCGGAAGGGAATCCACGGGAGAAAATTCCCGTCGTTGGCTCGCTTCGCGAAGGAACGTGTAGAAAATGTAAGTACAAGCTGCGGAGATATTGTCGGCGTAATACTGTCTCTCACACGACGGCGCGACTTACGAGGTACGCGAGGTATCGATTTTTCTGCATTCACGCGCGATTGAATGGGATGTATCGTCCCGCGGAATATATCGTTGCACTAAACATGTGCGTACCCTAGCTGACATTATTATCGGGGGCAACGATAAGCGTCATCGATTTTGGAAGTCCCTGTATTATACGACGGATACCCAAGACGTCTCTTAACCGGTTATCGTTATTGATCACAATTGATAGCCCCCATCTACTTAACTTGATCCAAAAACGCGACGTTAAGTAAAAGGTGCCTCGGGCAATTGTTCTTACTGATCGGAAACGTTGCAAAATTGACTCTACATACTTCGATTTCGCGTGGGTGATAAGAGAACGTGTGTGAGTGTAACAGTGGTGGATGCAATATTCTACGATGTCAGGAACTAAGAATTCGGTATTCGTAGTTTCATATTATATTCAAGACCGTGTCTCGAGCGCGATCTTAATGTTATATGGATTTATAGTTGCGATATAAAATTCACACACAATCATCTTACGTCGCGATCGTAACTCTACACGTATGAGATTTTAAGATCGCACTTCGGATAATCCTGAGTATAAGATTCAACTATGAATATCGCAGAGGAATAATCTTTCGTATATACCGCGTGTTTATTGTCCACGCATCAGGAATCGTGCGAAATATTCATTTCCACCAGTCGTTGCTGGATTTCTCGCGCGTTTCTCTCACTCGTCTCGGATAATTTCGCGTTCTAAATAATCGCGCCTCTAAAAACCTCTTGTCTTTTTCGCAGATTCTTATGGCGTTACTTCTTTTAAACGCGTATTATATATGTTTTGTCGCAACTCTTTACAGATCGCGGAAATGCCGGACTATTCGCCGACACAATTTCCACTCGGGGTCGTTTTACGTTTTTCTTCTCTCTCTCTCTCTCTCTCTCTCTCTCTCTCTCTCTCTCTCTCTGCACAATGAACGACTCGCGTGTACACTCGAGTGTTTCCGGTATATGTCTTTATAGGCGTTTACGGGAGCGATGGATTTCGATGTTTTACGAAATGCAATTTTCCACAGTGTCTGCGCGACGTGCATTCTTATCGCTATAATGTGACTTATCGTTATGCCCTCTGCGATTCTCAGGTAACGTTCGACGCGAGCAATGGCGCTTGTACTTCGTACAATGTCTGACAATGAGATATGCGAGTGAAAATAAAGGACGATAAGAAAAATGTATTACGAATGTGAATAGCGAAAATAACAGATGAGATAAAAATAATTTAACGACACGAAATATTTTTGTCAACAATTATATCGCATTTTTCGCAGGCATATTTTCACAACACTTGTCCGCGTCGCTCAGACACAGCGGTAGATTCTAACGATAATAAGTTACTAGCTTAAAGCGTATCTACGAATAAAGCACCATCTAATTACGTCTAAAATGCTTATTAAATGAGCTTCCCGGTGGCCACGCATCGCCAGCATGGGATCTCGAGATCAATCATCATCGATCACAATAAATCGATCGCTAACGACGCGACGTTTTCTCGCCTCTTAGAAATATTGCTTGATCAAGCGTTAGTGGTGTTACACTTAAATTGACTAGTACCGTTTGTAACATGTATCTCACACAACCATCTCAGAGGCTCTCGGTCTCTTAACAACCTTAGTGAAAGAGAGCGAGCAAAATTGTCGTCGCTCTCTTTGACGGCAAAGCTTGACTTCCTTTTGGTGTCGCTCGCAACATTGACTAAATATACGTGTCACTTGGTGGCACGATCTTAACTTTAACGGCAAATATTGTTAAATTCGCAGTACCTCACCCATTTCACAGTCAGTCGAAGTACCCGCGTACTCGATATTCGAGATGTATATGAGCTGCATCATGAATTCGAAGCACGCGGGAAAATCAATCGTTCGTTGAGAATTTTACGTCAGTTGCCAAAATGGTCAAAGTGCTAAAGCACTGAAGGTAAAATACCTCTTTTCCGCGCGACGTGTGCAAGTACCGTCGTTGAGATAAATTTAATTTGAACTTGACAATAATTTTATATTTCCGTATCAGAATGTTGCGTCCAATAAAAAAATGTTAGCATATTATTGCCGATCGCAAAAATGACGCAAAACATGATAAAAGCAATTTATAATTTCACCCAACCTCCGAATCTCGAGTACGCTTTACAGAAGTTTTCGTGTCCTCACTTGATCATGATACTCACTGCCGTGGGTCCCTGAGAGATAGTGTTCTCCTTAGAGGCCTCTTCGACCTCCTTGAGCTTCTCCTCGGCCTTACGTTCCTTCAAGGCCTTGAGCAGCTTCCACTTGGACCCGGGCGGGCCAGGACTCACCTGGCCCTCCTTCAATGTCGTGTCCGAGCTTCCGCAGGACGAGGAGTCGATCTTGATCTTCGGTAGACTCAAGGTCGCCGTTGTAGCTGTCTCGGCGCTACCGGCTCCATCGCGCTCGAGGCCTTCAAGGACAGTGCTTTCAGAATCCCAAGCTCCCGGGATGCTGACCGACACTTCGCTAGGTGGTACACTTACGCTACCTTCGCGGGATAAAGAATCCGAGCCCTGTGGCATCTTCTCGCTGTGACGTAGAGTCGAACCGTTGGAACTTCGTCGTGATTGTTGCTCATCGAGATCCTTCGGCAGCTCTTCTTCCTCTTCTTCGTCCATTGATTGTCCAGGACTATCCGGACCGGATGTCTCGCCAGAAGAACCCTCTTCCGTGGATGGTGCAGGAGGCTTCTCCTTCTTAGCTTCTATCTCGTGCGCCCATGTATGATAATCGGTCACCCTGGCGAATACAGCTTCTACACTTTCTGCAGATTTTCGCTTAGGAATAGGTTTTTCATCGCGATATCTGCTATCGTTTTCTTCGAAGCGATGCTCTTTGATCACCGTGCCGTTCATTCTGCCTCGTAATTCTTCCCTAACCTCCTTTCTCTGATCCTTTGGTTTCGTGACGGCTTTGAGCTTAAGCTCCTTCAATACAAACGACATCTTTTCTTTTACCGTTTCGTCCGGCTGGTAAACTTCGTCTTCAGGTTCCTCGATCAATGCTTCGGTCATTTCCATTTCGGATTGTCTCTCCAACTCTTCAAGTTTTCTTAATTCGTAACAGTACCATTCGTCTTCGGAATCAATAGAATCTTCTGTACTTTGCCGTCTTGAAGACACTCTCGATGTACTCCTGTATGAATGAGTGCTGCGATTATCCTCATCAGGTTCACCCGGTCGTGATCCAGTCCAAGGAATCTCTAGAGATTGCTGATGGCGAGGTAGAAATCGAGATCCTCCTGTAGTATTGTAACCTCTTATGGACGCTGACGGACTGCCCTCTGATGGCGGAGCTTCTTCTGATAAACTGGTGACTAGTTCCGGTAATTTTGCGCTGCCAGACTTCTCGCTCTTCTCGCTTTTTTCCGATACATCTTCCGGATATTCAAAACTTGTTTCCAAAGTCTGCGATGGACCCTCCTCGGTTGATTTCTTATCATTGTTCTCGTCAATGATCGATTGTTCATCGGATACTGTCGAAGATTGTCGTTGACGATATTTGCCAAGCGCTCGTGACACAGCGAATTCCATGCTCGAGCCACCAATCAAGGTAACCGGAGGCAGTTTCGGCGCCTTCTCATTGGGGGCCTCATCCGAACTGCCTGTTGACCTCTTAATATCACCAACAGTTTGGAAGATCGACGATCCACCAGATCCCGAGCCGGTACTCTTACCAGAAGCTTCTTCTTCGAGCATAGCCGATTGGTCGCCATTCGTTTCATACTCGTTAACCTCGATTTTTCTTTGATTTTCTTTCTCCTTAGCCCACGTATCTTGAAGAGCCTGTTGATGCAATTGCTCTTGGTGCTGCTGAATCTGTTGTTGGAGTGCTTGTTGCTGTTGTTGAAGCGCCTGTTGATGCTGAAGTTGTTGTTGCAACTGTGCTTGTTGTTGCTGCTGTTGCATGTATTCTTTTTGCTGCTGTTGCATATATTCTTTTTGCTGCGCTTGAATCTGTGCTTGTTGTTGCTGCTGTTGTGCTATCATTTGCTGCGGCATCGAAGGCGGCTGCTTTCTTTTGGTACTCGCGGATTTCACTTTGGCAAAGAAAGGCGGTTCTTGAACGATATCAGATATGACGCTGTCCTCATCTTCCGAGAGACCGCTTTGCCGACCACTGCTCCATTCTGTCTCAGACTGTTCCGGATCGGATAAAGATTGCGACTGATGACTGCGACGCTTAGCCTTCTGGAGAATGCCAGAAACCGTGGAAACCAGCGTATGTTTTTTCTTTTTTCTGGCCGTCTGAGCTCTGCCTCGACCTCTTCCTGTCATTTCAGCAGGCAATCTTTGCTGCTGAGCTTCTTGCACGTCTAGATCTTCTCTTCTGACACCCCCTGGTAATGACTGACTTCTGTGACGTTTGGTGAGGTGCAAATCGGGCAGCCAATTGCTCATAGAACTCATTGCGTTCTTCAGGGAAGAACCTCTTCTAATTTTTTTTGATAGTTTACTATTATCGACCTCATGATCTTTTAGGTTCGAAGCGATACTAATGTATCCGGATTGCGAAACTATTACACTCGAGGCGTCGTAATACTCGCTTTGCTGCGTTTGTTGTTGCTCCATAGATATTCTTCCACTCTCATGATCTTGAATATACTGATGTTCCCTTTGCCATTGTCTTTGATAACCGTCTGCGAGTTGTGCGCTCTCAGCACTACTCAGTCGCTGACTGTATGGCTGATACTGTTGTTGATAAGCTTGTGGATAATTCTGATTCGCGTAAATGTGATGCTGTTGATACGCCGAATGCGCTTGATAGGCCGGCGGCTGGGGATACCTTCGGTCTGTGTACGGACTTTGAGCGTAGCTCCCATCGGAAGTTAAAGACCTGATGCTGGAAGATGTTGAATCGTGAGGTATCTGCTCCTCCATAGAGTTCAGCCATGATGAGTTCTCGTTTGTCTCTGTACGCGGCAGATTAGTCGCACTAGTCGGATAATACGACAGAGCATCTGTGATGTTGCCGGTGGGGAACATCGTACGATACATTGCCGCTTTATATCCTTCATGGTTCGTCATACCATCTGTAAAAGAGCTTCCACGAAATGGCTTCTTTCCATGAGCCATTATAGTGCTTGTTGTCTCTGCATATTGAAGAGTGCCATAACTGTCTTGATAGTTGGTATATTGATGATCCATCGATTCGGAAGAAGAATAGTAAGCCGAAGTAGTAGTTTTGGGCCCGTAACTTCCAGCACCGCTGGTATAGACACTCGTAATGGCTTGCTGTCGATTACTACCGGCCACGGAGTAAATAGCCGGTTGTTCTGATCTGTAAATATAATCCGCACTCGTACTAGAGGACGTCGCGTAAGTATGTTGTAAACTCTGCTGACGACTGCGTTTTTTGGGACTCTGACAAGTAGTAGTTACACCCGGAGCTGGCGGTGGCACAAAAGTATAGTCTTCTTTGGCCGGTGACTTGCTGGCAGTCGTATATGCCGATAAGTGATTCATTGTCGTTGTGTAAGGATGACTGGACGTGGTCGTCATGGTACTAGCAAAAGCGTCTCTACCTTCGGGAGTGTCATAAAGAGGTTCCGTGATAGCGGTGGTAGTGGTCGTCTCTGGAAGCGGCGGTATCGGACTGGATGTTCTGGCGGGCTGCGTACTCGGTATAAGACTACTCGTGCGAGTGTGATCCACCGAATAAGAAGTCAGCATTTTAGCGATGGAGCTTTTCGGAGAACATGGCGATTTGTCTAAGCTGCTCCAGCCGCTCATAGAGGACAGACCGGAATCAGACTTAGCTGTGACTATGTTAGCGGCACTGCTAGATTTAACTGCATGTTTCGGCGAGACTCGTGGTGATTTGGGCGACTGATGGGGACTGAGACGACCCTGTTCCATAGAGACCAGCTTTTCGGCGTTTCGCAGAAAACTCGGGCTCTGAGATCTCTTCGTTTCTGATTCTCTTTGTTCTGTGCCAGGCATGAGGAAAGTTTCGGTGGTATCTCGCGGTGCTGGCGGAGGTGGTGAGCTAGGCGATGGACTAGGTGGTGTACGACTTTCCTGGAATTCAAGATTGAGCCGAGCTGCGCTGCCAAAGTAACCGTCCTGTCTGGTGCGGAGACCCTGGACACTGTGAACACTGTGTACGCTGCCGGCTGACAAAGTGGGTGACGATACTTTTTCGGTGGTCGTGCTGTAAATGTTGGGCGAGGCGCAGGTGACGGCGGTCGCGAAGCTTTCGGCCATCAAATCTGTCAGTTCCTTATTCTCAGCGTATCCCTTCGCGAAATTACCAACGTCAATCGGTAACTGAATCACGGGCTCCGGACTCTTTTCTAGTATAGCCGATGTATATCCTAATCTAGGCGGGGTATAAGTAGTCGAAATGGAGTCTAAATTGCTCCTGGACGTAGAGGTCAGTCTTGGCGATATAGATCTCGTTGTAAAGTCGCCATCGGTGGCCAATCCACTGTCAGTGCTGACTCTGGAGATCGATCTGCCTGTGGAGCTGGGACTTTTGGAGAAAGTCCAACTGTCCACGTCAGTTTCCGCGTAAATTTTTCTCAGTTGTTCGTCTATGCTGCTTGCTTCCTCAGCTAGTTTAGCCTCGGCTTCGGACGCATACTGATTTCGTTTTGGCGAATCTATCAATCTCGATTGCAGTTCTATTAAATTTTGCGAATCCTTTTGCAACTTGCTGGTTAGCCTATCTATCTCGTGCAATTTTTCTAATGCCACCTGATCGAGAGAGCTGAGTCTTGAAAGTTGAGCCAGATCTTGCTCACTGACGCACGGCGTGTTTCCTCTGTAGCTTTTATAATCGGCTGCACTGAATACTTCACCCTCGTCTTCATCCGCCTCGTCTTCCTTCTTCATTATGGAAGTTTGTACTTCTTCCTTGGTTGGTTGACTGGATAATTCTTCCAGTTCTTTTTCCTTTGGTATAGCTTTGTCGAAGATGCTGGGCTCGATCTCCTTCTTACCATTTATATCTTCATCTTCAGCCTCTTCCCAGATCATACCTAGCTGCGATGTCGGTCTCGATGTGTCGCCACAAATCAGATCTTCTCTGTAGGCGTTATTCAGGCTTCTGTAGAATGCCTCGTCGGGTATGTTGCCCTCTTCCTCGAGGGTCTCCAAAGTGTCCAAATTCCTGACATTCCTATGCATGTCAGTGACCACAGCCGCGGCCGTTGTACTGTCCTGCGTGAGTCCGTGCATCCTCGCCAACTCCTGTTGAGCCAGTTTCTCCCGTAGTACGGTGGTTTCCTCAATGCTTATCGCAGCACCCAGGCTTTTCGCTATCGCGTCTAGCTCGCCTACCGAGCCTTGCTGGTTGGCCAAAGTCTCCTCAACGATATTCACGTTATCATGAGTACCACCGCTAGTATAAAACTCGATCAGCTGGCTGATAACTGTCTGCTGCTCGTATAGCAAACCTTCTAATTTTTCTAATCTTTCCCACATTTTGATGTATTCCTGACTGAGAAGATCCAGTGCCCGCCAAGCATATTTCAACTCAGTTTCGAGGATGTTGAGTCTCGTGCCTAGTCTCTCCATGTAATCGCCTATTATGTAATCAATATTACCGTCACCGGGCGCAGGGTAGCTCGGCAGGACTGGCGAATGAGTCCTCGGACTAGTCGGCGTTGGACCACCCAACTTCGTCGAATCCATATTTCAGCCTTATCTGGTCGCACTGCGCGTCACAAGTACTTTTATCGTATTCTCTTAATTTTTCTTGTTTATTATGCGCCTATGTTTCTATTTGATGATCCCTGAGGCGATTCATCTTCGAGGCTCGCTCCCAAATCAAGTCACATCCCCCCTTGTGGACCAAAAAGGAACATGAATTGCAACTTGGCGAACCTCACGGAGGCCATTGGTGTAGTCGAGTTTTTGGTCGTTGCGTCGTGTTTTATGATGATCTCCATATTGACTCGTTTCGAATTCTCACATTTCACACACAGTCTAACTATGTTCTACGATTTCTTAATCACTTTTATGTCTACATGTATCAAGTGTCTTTCTTCGCGTTCCGTTCTACAGTAGGCTACACTGCGTACACAAAGTTTGGAAGTCGTTGAGATGCAATCTTGATAGAACGTTCAAGATCGCGCACACTCTGCAAATGGCACTTTGTAACCAATCTCGTATGTTCATGCCGCCGTTGTTATCTGTAAAATATTAAAAACCAACTCGTGTGACTTGGTATAAACCGAATACCAAGTCAACATCGAGTTTTAAATCAACAGCTTCCATGGTGTTTACATTATTTTGATGCATATCATCATAATATAAAGTCAAGATGTAAAGTCAAGATAGAGTTAAAAATATGTCGAGGCATTTGCTTCACATCTATGAAGGAAAAAAGTTTTTTATAAATATTTTATGTAGTCTAAAATCGTATTAATTAATCATCATATACTGACTATAAGTGTGTGCCACATTATCAAGATTTCTGTCTAATTACGCCTCGTTGGCCTCAATCTAAACTTAATAGCGACGAGTTGAGACCGCTGCGAAATAGATCGAAATCCTGTCAAATATATGTGGTCACTTGAATATTACATCGCGTGCTACGATAATATCGATTAGTCGTATAATTAATGAAAATAAAGGATTTAAGAGAGGTGCTTCATTTACACGTCATCGTGTTTATTGATTTAGCGTGATTCTAAATGATGTTCTGATGCGGAATACGCATCGCTGTTGATAATTATCAATATAATTATCAAGATCTGAAAACTTGCCGATCATATTTAGATTGTGAATTCTCATAAACTATTGACAAGTTAATTCTTTATTGCTATTATTTTTACTTCGTACATATATCGGTATTTTTTTTGTGCGTCTCTCCCGCTGCAATTTATGCTACACGGTATACAACACAGGCAACGTACTGCTTTTTATGATGGCAATGAAATTAATTTCATAATAATGGAAAAACGCGTCGTTGAAAGCTACCCGAAATGATCGTGCAATCTCGAAAGTCGTTAACCTAATTTCGCGTGCATTATATAAGGCGTTAAAACAAGAAGAGCCGCAGATGATATATAATCCTTGATTGCTACATCTCATAAATTCCTAATAATTAACAAAAAGTGTCGATATAAGTGATGTATCATTACATAAAACTTACTCGCTCGACTGTTACTTTAATGCATATATGTATTATATCATATAAATCGTGAAATATCATTTTAGAATAATATAATACACATCGACATCAAAGGAGCAAATGACAATTGTCAGTTAAAATAAAATTAATTAAAACCTAATCTCTTGAATTAATAAATAACATTTTGTTATTTTTAATTTCCATGTGTATTAATATAAATCATTTCACTTCCATGCAGCCGTGGTTAGTTTTAAAATAAATCACACCCTTATTAACAAACGACAAACGCGCTTATAGTAAATAATAAACTAAATTTAAATCAAATTTAATACATTATTTAAACTGTTTAATTCAATTGTTTTAGTTAAATTAATTAACGACATATTAAGTAAGAATAGTGATGATCTACAGAGATGATTAAAAATAATCCAAAATTTGTAGGTATAATTTATGCATAATTAGGGGCATTTATGAATTTAATAGTGTACTCTGAATTTCTAAGTTCTCTTCAATGAAAAATTATTAATGATAATTAATAAGCGTATTAACATGTGTCATAAAATCGCATAATTGTCGTAATTTATTTAAAATACCGCATGATGCTTTACGCTTCTGACTTTATTGAGATAAATTATTTCGGTCTCATACTAACAGCCAGTGGGTTGCTATTTACGATCGTACATCAAGCGGCATGTGCGTTTATCACTCGAGCCTTTTTTATATTTTACACTCGGGAATCTAGCTTCATCGTTTCACGTGCTGCTAGCTTCCTATCGGTTTCCTTCCGGTTAAGCGAGCTGCCGCAAACCGCAGAAAAGAATACCGCCACGACGATATTGCGCTGAATATATGTCTACCGCAGACAGATTCTTCGCCAGGTCAAAATGGGCATTCAAGAGTTGCATCACAAAAGAGGCGAACGGTTATATCGCCATTGCAAGAATTCAACTCGTGGAAGATTCCTTCTGTTTGCAAATATTTCTCCTCGTCGCATTTCTTCGCGCGTTGGCAAGCAGGAAATAAAATTCGCTTTATATGGCTCGTTTTAATATATCGCTCCCTTATAACATCCTTATAATACTTGCATGCGTCGCGTTTTAACCTTCGAACAACGACGATACAAAATTATCGTCGTTAATCACATAATTAATAGCTATTTATACACAACGGTTATTTACGTGACGTTGGAGTAAAAAGTTTTTTTATGGGCCAGTTATTTTTATTCTTGCTTATGCAGTCACTCTATGTCTTTCCAATATCAATTGCAGATGGTTGATGGCACGTAAACATAGTAAAGCCGAATGATTATCGATCCTATACTATCTACCACGTATCAACTGGAATGTTTATTGTATGCTATATCCGTGTCACACAGATTACTATTCGTAGTATAGTGGGCGGTTCATTCTTGATAGTTCTTCTGAAGGTTTTATACCTTTCGCATCACAGGTTATTACCGACACGGTAAATGCCGTTGGATATCATTTATCAGCAACAAAGTTGTTTCCCGCGATGCTTCCTATATTCTCCATGAAAGTGAGTGAAAAGCGAGGTGCGATGCATTAATAAAACTAATCTCCGGAACGTTTTCCAACTATTTCAGATTTTACTTTAAGCCGACTTAAGCCGCTTCGTAGTTAATTGAATTAAGAACAAAAGTCCGGTGGATTGGCGACTAGAAATCTGCCGGAAATCGGGTATCTCGACGCAACAAGTCACGCGCTATACATCGATTATCTGAATCCCGTTGAATAGATTTTACTTGAAAAATTGTTCCAAGATATATAAATTGTTCTTATCAAAGAAGAATATCATTGCAAAATTGATTATAAATTGATATATTCGTTTGTGCGATTGGATTTATACCTTTTGAAGCTTCCACTGCATGGAAATTTCTATCTTTAAAAAGGATTTTCATAAGCTCACGGACAAAGTAAATAAAATGTCTACAGTGGCGAGAGACGAAATTTATTATACTTTATACACAAAAAGGATATTCTTTAGTCTATAGAAAATTCGAGAATGCTTACGGCGTCTAATGTTTTTCACACAAATTTAGCTCACCTCATAAATTTTACAAAAATCCTTGTCTACTTTTTCATACAAAATCGAGAAATTTATTCGCTTATATATATATTTTGCAAAATAGCGTAATTATTTATTTATGCTTTCACTGTATAGTACGGTATCGTAAGTGGTATTTTAGGGTGAAGTGATTTGTAGAAGAGCTTATTTGTGTGTGGTACGCGCGAAAAATTTCCGACGCAAAATAACGTAAAGCACTTTTAACCGGGTGAAACATCCCGTTAGAAAAAACCTTCGCTCGGTCGCTTCTGAATAGCGTAAAATACCATAATCTTGTTAAAAGGGGCCAAGATTAATTCACAACACGTCATGTATAGAAAAATGGGACAAGCCTGTGGGGATTTTACAGTTTATACGTAGGAGATTTTCTTATGCGCGCACATATTTATGACGAAAAATATCCCTTTGAAACGCGCGCTCATGAGACTAGTCGGGAACAAGAGAGAGAATTCGAGTGATAAGGGAGAAAACTAATGTAATTACTTATATTGTAGCGAAAGGGAGTTACCAATTGCGTGGCATCTTGCTATATGTCGTTTAATGCAAATGTAAATTTTAATTTCCAATTTCATCGCGATACAAATGTTACTAAGGTTTCTTTCCATTAATTTAATTTTTCTCTTAGGATATTTCCGCGAAAAAACGATGTAAATCATTATTTCAGTTTTCATGAAAATAGAAAGAAAGACAAACTCATAAATTTACTTTCTTTAATTTTTCCCCCCGTAAATCATATATAAATATAATATTAATATATAAGTATTCGATGTATCTTCTTCGATGATTTTTTGCAACATACGCGCAATGCGCAATACGATAAACGTTCTATCAAAATGGTTGTGGTAATTAACCTAGTACAATGCGCAAAAAACTTGTACTCTTTCTCCTTTATTGCAATCTCGTCCTGAACAAAAGTTCCGAAGCTTCAATAAAGGAAAACGAGTACAATTTCTTTGTGCAAGGTTAATTGCGATATCGTTCTTTGATAAGATGTTGATGATACAGATGTGTATCGAATGTCCTAATAACACAGATATTTTGACATATAGTTCGCGTAACAATGAAAAAGAGAGAAACGACTACATCTAATAGCCTCGATGATATCGTTGCTTTTACTTGAGTCTTTTCTCAAGCACGTATCTTTTTATCCCATTCTCTAAGACATACACATATAGGTCGAAGATTCTGTCGAAAATGGGATACAGGAGAGACTGGGTTAATCCCATTTTAGACAGAGAGAAAACGATTTCCCGCAGATGGCAGAATCAACTATAAAATTTATACGATGCTACAGAAGTTAGTTTTTCGAGATAATGTCTCGTGCATATAGGCGAAATTTATTAAGCAACAGGTCTCTCTTTCTCGCTATTATTATCATCAATTGTCATAAAACCATTCTTGAAGACAGAAGCCGGTGATCTTACCAGATCATTAAAACAAAAGAATTAATCTGTATAATTTCGTCAATGTGTACGAATGATTGTGTTTAAACTGTAGCTGTTTATTCGTAAATTTGCTACTTAATAAAAGCATCGCATAAATTTTCAAAATACGTTAATGGAAACGTAGTTTCAACGTAATACGAGCTATTTAGAATATAAACCGTAATATTGTAAACTTGATATACTCGATCATATTTGTTTCTACTTGTTTATGTAACATTTAACAAGCTTTAGTAATATTTCATTTATTGTGTGTGATATCGCTATGTATTTTTATATAGAGAATACAAGTATCAAAGTAAG